CCTTATACTAAAAAGTAAATGATCCCTTTGTATATTTTTGTTAGCACTTCATTTGAACACTTTTAAAACATTGGTTGATGTATTTTAATTAGTTTCGCAATAACAAACCATATCATGTACTAAAATATAATAATTTGTTTATATATTAACATTGGACTAAATGCTATTTAGAATTTTAGACCTCAGCAGTTGACACACACTTTTGACAATTGCAGACAGAGCACTCAAAAAGAACCCAGCAATAGACATTACCATATGCTTTAGAAAAGCCAGAATCTTTGCCTAATGAAACAAAACATATGAACCCCGGAAAGTTGCCCAAAGAAAAACTAACATTCATCCATCATATAACAGAGGGAGAGGGGAATCGAGGGAGAAAAACTAACATTCATCCATCATATAACAGAGGGAGAGGAGAATCGAGGGAGAAATACTAACATTCATCCATCATATAACAGAGGGATAGGGGAATCGAGGGAGAAATACTAACATTCATCCATCATGTAACAGAGGGAAAGGGGAATCGAGGGATCGAGACAAAAAGAAGAGTGAGGCCCATGTCCTCTCTAAAATATACCAGTGAGTAGGTTGGCCGCGGTGGACAGGGCCGCACCGGTGATTGCACACTGCACAATTTGCTCGTGAGAGGGGTCTTCAGTGGTGAGAGCCAATGTTGCTCCCGTTACTGCCCCTGCGATCGCGCTATTTTTCTGGCAAATTACAAAAAATTTAGGAGATGACCCATGTCAAGTACTTCAATAACAGATGGAATGTGAGTGTTCCTAACTTTTAAAGACCATTGCATGATAGAAAGATGCATGACTCTTAAGAACCATCAGAATGTGTGAGTGAGAGGGGTGTCAAATTACCCAGTCGTGAGAGCCTCGAGCTTCCTTCAGACCATACGTGATGCCTGAATACATCCCTGCAGCCAGTCCTGCAATGACAAGATATCAATTGTGTATGTGTGTGTGTGTGAGAGAGAGAAGTAGAATAAAAAGAAAGAGGTGATGAATTTCACACCCCATTGAATAGATTCTTTGCCAGTTTGTTTCACCTGTAAAATACACACACACTGTTAAAAAAAAAACAAATCCACACAAAAAAAACTAACAGAAGAACCGATTTAAGTAAATGTTTTTCACTCAATAAAAGAAGAGAGAATTCAAATTTTCCACGGAACATTACCATAGCTTCAAGGGATTTTGCACATGTCTCTCCTGCAAATCATCCAAAACTTAAATTAAATTCTCTCCGAAAATAATTTATTGAAAACATAAAGGCAACAGAGTACTAATGCAAAAAGAAGAAGTTCTCCATATGGTTCGTTTCCGGTTTCTTACTTCACACAGTCCATAAAAGAAAGACTCGATCCATATAAAAAAAAAAATTGGTAAGTCCTGCATCCATATGCGACACCATTGATTGTGGTCCCAAAAGGATGCTTTTTAAAAAACATAAAAATAAATAAATAGATTTTTATGCTGTCACAAAAGAAAAGGGAAGAGAAGATCCTTAATTACAAAAAAGAAGAGTATTATACCCTCACAGTAATAATACCTTTGAGGTCGGGTAAGCGTTGTCGGCGAGCAAGCTTTGAGGCATCCGGTACCCCGCTCGTGTCTAGGCCTGCTCCTGTCACAAGCAAAGTGAGTAGAATCCACAACCAAGTCCCTTATTTCTGATCTTCTACAAACTAAGTGAAATGACCATCCTTATTTTGCTTCTTACAGTTGCAGGTTCATATAATATTGGAAAATTGTGACAAATTTGCCTCCACATTCTTGCTTCCTTACTTAATCAAAAGAAAGTAAAGAATTATTCTCCCATTTTATATTTCTAAATCGTCAGTTACTGAATTGCATAAAAATTTCAGTAAGCAAGCATTGTAAATTGGTACTAGTAAAAAAAAAGGTACCCTCAAGGGCAGTGAAATAGGCCTCGCGACAAACCGCTTGTACTGCTCCGATCTGGCGACCACAAACAAATTCCATATTTACTGAAGAATCAAAACATGAGAAGAGGAAGAGTGAGGGCCGGGAAAAAGAAGACAGAAATAGCGGAAAAATGACATACTCCCGCAGCCTTGACGAAGGGGTGGGCAATCCGATTGAGGAGAGGGTGACCGAGATCAAGGAATCCACCTCTCTTGTCCAAACTCTTGAGCTCATCTAAGAGGGACCTCGTCTCAAGATTTGAACCCATACCTGCCGAGAGAGAGAAAGAGAGAGAGTACAGTACAGGTGAGGTAAGTGGGGAGCTGAAGGAATTAAAAAGTGGGTCAACCTTAACGAAGGAAGAAGTGAGAGAGCATCAAGGTTGAGCTGATTTGTTTGTTACAGAGAGAGAGAGAGAGAGAGAGGAGGGGAGTGTTCGGTAGTGAGTTGTATTGTCGTGTTAGAGAGAGAGAGAGAG